ACACGTCCGTAAGAAGAAGAGAAGGAAGTCGAGAGCGCTTAGAGAGACCAGGCATCCTGGCTGTCAAAAGCTCTCATAATTGCGCCTATAAGGGATTTCGCGGTTTCTCGCGTTGCCAACGGTTACAAATATCGCGGATTATTCTAATCTAGCGGTTTTCGTTACAATATTTTAGCCTTATATACATTTATCTTTCCTATATTATGTACATGGGCTTTTAAAAATTTCTTCGGGAAAAATGATCGGTTCGAGCGGAGCAAAACGTGAAGCAGCAGCAAGGCAGTATAAACATCGCATCCTACAAATAAACGCTTTTTAAATATATTATTAGAATTTGTATAACATAGAAAAAGAATTTAGATGTTGTAATAACCCTGCAGTACCGCGTGTCATCAATAGGCCCTTGTCATCAACATGTCATCAATGCGCCGACTGCGACTTCTACCGAGTCGACGCTCTGCCGACTGCAAAATATGATCAATAAAGTCAAGTTTTGGGTCAATGCGGACGCCGAAATCATCAACTGAATTTATTCTTTCCAAACAGCAGTTCAGCGTGTAAGTAGCAAGCTTAGGAACGACACAAGAGAATGTCATTTCCATGCATTTCGAGCCGTTTAAGTTTAATAAATTAGCACAAAGTTTGAAAATTATTGAGATCTGTTTGTACGTCGTCAGCGTACATAGCCACTCTGGAGTTAGTCAAGACTTTGGGCAGGTCTTTTATAAATGATGTAAACAAGAAGGGTCCCAAATGGCTTCCCTGCGGGACGCCAGATGTAACCCTTAGAACATAAGATAAATTATTCTTAAAGAGGACCATTTGCGTCCTGTAATTCAGATAACTTGAGATTCAATTAAGAAGATCTTTTGGAAAACCCATTAAATCGAGTTTTCTTACGAGGAGAAGATGGTTAACAGAGTTAAATGCTTTATTCAAATCAGTATAGATTACATCTGTCTGAAAATTATTATGGAAGCCTTCTATAATATAGGAAGAGAGCTCCAAAATATTTGTTGTTGTTGATCTTCGCTTAATAAAACCATGTTGACATGCTACAAGTGAGGGGTGATCATGTTTTCAAATAGTTTAGGGATGACAGACAACTTAGAGATTCCTCTGGCATCCAATTTGCTACCTTTTTTGTGGAGAGGAATAAAAAACGATTCCTTCCAAATAATGGAAAAGTGGGTGGTTACCAAGGATGAGGTAAACAATTTCAGAAGGGGATATCACAGTGCGTCGGCACAATACCTGAGCACACAGCCAGGAATTCGGTCGGGACCTGGGAATAAACTGGCTTGACACGATGAAGATCTAAAAGAAGAGAACTTTCGTTTAGGCTAGAACAGAAAATTAAGTTTGATTTGGGTATGTCGTAGGAATAATTGCCTGCTATTGCCTGATCATTATTTGCGGTAGTATTTTCAAATGAAAGCGAGGAAAGATTTGTTTTATGCTTACGTTTAGTGTTAACAAAATTATAAAACTGTTCTGGGTCCTGTGAGAACTGGGAACTGAAAAACTTCGAAGCTCAGAATCTCCGGCTTTAACCAGGTTTCTGTGAGCACAATAACCTGAGATGCAAACGAAAGGCTATCAGAATACAAGTTAGGAAGCTTACTACGTAAGCCTCTTGCATTCTGATAAGAAATACCTAACGAGTGTGTTAGTTTTTTGGGTCGGGATTGGAAGACGTAAAAGGCGCAGTGGTATGATCAGGCCCGGTAAGAGTTCTTCCTACAGGCCGTTTTTTCTTTTTCTTCGCTTCGAACTCCTTAACAACAACGTACTCTGGCCAGAAGTTGGGAGAACAAATAGTGTTAAAGAGCTCGTTAGGGACGTTTATTTTGAAAGATTAAATATGCCTAGCGTAAGAAAATTTTAACTTTTCCACCTTAATCTTAATATTATCACCTCTGGTGTTGCCTTGTATAAAGGCGAGAACGTCTTTCGCTGTTTGATCAGGGGAGTGCCGCGAAACAAAAATATGTCTCGTCGGTGGAACTGCTTTAAGGACTTTTGGCAAGGCAGATTGGTTATCTGCCGTGCCATTGTCGGTCGGTATTCCGCGCCTAACACCCTGGGCAGATATATAAGCATGTACATATATATGTAAATAAATGCAAATATATATATATATGTATATATATTTATAAACATACGTACTTGGTATAACTTTTAATAACCTTTTCTTATTGAGATTAACGTACATGTACAATCATATAAGCAAATTGTTCTTCTTATTATTTAGAATTCGACAATTTCATACTTACCAAGAAAAGAGGGCAATAAGTCCAGAAAACCCCACTCGGTTAAAAGCCATTCCAGATCTTTATCGTCATTCATATCACTCATATTTTTTGTATATGTATACAATTTTCACATCCATTTTAATACTTTTTAATAACTTTTTTACTCTCGGGTCGGACACACAAAAAAACGCGGTATTGATATGTAAGTGTGCTTTAAATCGTTAATTAAATTAATCCGTAAAAAAATACCAAATAGTAGGCTGAGAAGTTTCTGGATTTTAATAAAATAATTATCAAAATGTTTAAAATAAATATTATTATGGATCTTGAAAGTAGTTTATTTGATACTCCGATTGGGAGTACAAAAATATATGTACCAGACCAAACATGAACACTAAATACGTAAAACCTATAGCAATTCGACTGCAGCTGACAGTTTTTTGCAGTTCGCAAAGCCAACAACAAAAAACTGTAGCATCTGGTACTTGACAAAAATTGACTGTTGCCACATTTTCGTGCAGTCATAAATCCAACAACAAAATACATTGACTGCAACTTTACTGTAATTCAACCCACAAATATTGTAGATTTAACCCACCAGAATTGCTTTGGTGTTGTGCGACAAGCTTAAAACTTATATTTCTTCTCTTATTTTTATATAGAATTAAAATTAACATAATAACAGATTTTCTAACCTATGCTGAACATTTTTGAGTCAGATACTTTTTGATTTGAATTTTAAATTGTGGCGCGCTTTTTTTTAATTTTTAAATTTTATTTGGTAATTGATTCAAAAGCTCAACAGAGTACACTAAAAAGTGGTTATCTAAACTTGCAAGTCAATTTCTAATGTTTTTAATATTTTTGGTTTTTCGAGATATAAAAGTAAATCGTGTCATACAGGTATTGCAGTTCGTGCTTCATTATAACTTTATGAAGTTTAATTAATATCCTAAGTTTAATCCAGAATAGTATAGGCATACCTATGTATGATGGTGTTTGCGTGTTCCAAAATGTGGTCGAATCTTCCGATTTTATACAAATACATAGCCTTGCTTATAAACGCCCTGCAGCACCGCATCATCAGTAAGTAATTCATCAGTAATTAATCAACGATTCATCAACAGTCAAGGCGGTGTTGTTGATATTTCATCGATTAAGGGCCTGTGGTACTGCAGGGAAGCAGGTGCGTATGTGTAAGCTTATGTTCGCAAGAGCAACGACGATAAATTTAAATTTTATATTTTGGGCTGCTGACCGCTTGTTAGGTAGAGAGGGGGGCGAGATCTCAATTATGTATCCCAGCAGTACCAGTTATCAGTAATTAACAGAGCTCGCAAATAACTGTCGACCGTTTCTCGTTGTCTGCAAATAAGTGTCTTTTCCTGACACTTTACGAAAAAACTCAGAGAGCAACCGAAATAAGGGTGCTTAAATGAGCTCGCTCGCGCTCAGAGCGAAACCGTTTTTTTTAATTCTGTTTTGTTCTGGTTGTTCCAAGACCGTTTTGTCGTGTTCAGTGAAGCAAAAAGTCTTTTGCATATGTATTGGTATACACTCACACGCATAGGCAAGCAAGTCGTTAAGCGTCTGTATTGCGATCGTGAATTGAGTGTGTGTGAGTAAATGCAAAGACCGTTTGCGTTGAGTTTTTCGGTCAATCGGTCTTTTGCTGACTCTCATTGTGCGAGCGTTTCTCGTTTCGCTCTTTAGGCAATGCTCATTGAAAGAGCGACACACAAAGATCTCAACGAAAAACGTTCAACAGAAAACCTAAAAGAATACAACAAGAGTCTCTTGCTCAGAGCGAGAGCGAGAGAGTATGAACTTTTTCGGTTGTGCTCGCAACGAGAGCGTAAGAAAAAAATCGGTCGACAGTTATTTGCGAGCTCTGGTAATTAATCAACGATTCATCAATAGTCAAGGCGGTGTTATTGATGATTCATCGATGAACGGCCATACAAACTGTCGATGAATTTAACATGGGCATGTCCTTGGCTGTCATCAACAACAATTCATCAACAATTAATCAACAAATCTTCAACAAATACATCAACAATTAATCTATGAATCATTAAAAATATCATCAAAACTCATTAATCAATCAATCATCATCATCACGAATGCCGTCTAGACTACCGTCGTAACTGTAGAGCGTCGACTCGGTAGAAGTCGCAGTCGGCAGAGCGTCGCCTCGGTAGACGTCGCAGTCAATGACTGTTGATGACTGTTGATGACAGTGGCCTATTGATGACATTCGGTACTGCAAGGTGGCTCTAGAGCCAGCACGAAAACAACGCTGTATGCGTGAGAGAGCTGCTGGTTCTAGACTCTAGAGTCTGGATGGCTCTAGAGCGCTCTCTCGCTGGTTTTTGAACGAAATGTGAGAGAGCCTTGAGCCAGTTTAAAAGCCAGCACGAAAAAATCGAGTGCAAAAAAATCGTATGGCGTTAAGAATCTTTCACTCTGTATACTCTTTGGTTAAACTGATTAGACTACAAAATCGGCAAAATGTCCGATTGGTCTAATCAACCAATGTAAAGCCTACCTTATTAATTAAATTACAGCGGATATTTGTAACTTATTGAAGAGACAAGATTCCCCACAGTGTATGTAATTTTTGTAGTAATACGAATTTTTGTGAATGTATAAAAAGATTTTGTGTGTTAAAAAATACTCACATTAATGTGTATGTTATTCAAAGTGGGGATATACTCGAATATTTTGCATTATATGTTTACTTACCTGTAATACTAAAGCCTTAGTTTCTGGTGTTGTGCTTTCTAAAAAAATTTGTTTGAATTCACTTGGGCTTGATAATTTAAAGTCTGATGCAGAAGCAATGAAATCCAGCAGCTCGGCCAGATCCGTAGATGCTGAGCTCTTTTCCATATTTTGGGATGCTAAAAGCTCTACACCATTGGCACACCACTGGTTAGCCTAAAACGAACGTCGCGACTTACGTATGTTGATCGAATGTATGTATAGTAGGACTACTTACGCTCTCCACTCTTTCCATTAATTCATTATTCTTCCCTAAAGTATCTAACCTTTTGCTAAGACGCAATTCGATTAGGTCGCGAACACGAATTAATTCGTCGCACATTGGTTGAACAACTATCCAAGGGTAAGTTTCTTGTGATTTAATTAGAGTTTGTCCCAGCAGTAACACTTTATTTGTCCTCTGTGTGTCATCTTGAAAAACTTTATAAAGACCATTTGTTGTTTCTAAAAGTTCCAAAGCACGTTCGGTACTCTCTCCAATCTCTGTCATCTCAGATATTAACTTAATATGTTCGTCAAATATGTTCTTTAATCGTAAAATCATTTATTTAGATTTTAAAATATTATTTCTTTGGTATTGAACTAATACCTGTATTTCATGGAAATCTCGCTCGAACATCCGTAGATGCAAACATTTCTCCAGAGAATCCCAGTGTGCCTGCCAATAATCGTCAAAACGTCTTTCTGTTTCCTCTAGTTGGACGAGAAGTCTAAGGTAAAATTGAAAATCACCATGTTAAAACAGCATTAAAAATATTACATACATAGGTATATAAATATTTCAAGGGATTACATTCAGCTTATAGTGTATTTGGATCTCCAGACCAGAAAAAAAAAGTTTATTTTGATTGTCATTTGGAATATAAAAACCAGATGTTAAACATTTCTTAGTAATACCAAAGCCGAACAAAAACTCAGAACGTTCTTACATCGGATGTATACATGCATTTCGTTCGGGTGCTCTGGGGTTCCAGGCTCAGCCGTTTTTGTGATAGTACTTTTTTGTACTGTTTGACTTCTCTATGTATTTCTTGCTTAGTGCTTATACATAATATATTTACAGTTTGACATTCACAGTTTTGCATTTTCATCTATATTTAACGAACGGTTGTATGGCAGCTATATTATATAGTAACCCGATTTTCATAAAATTAAAACCAAAATTGTAGAATAATATAAAAGGGCAATATCTCTGTTGGCTGAATTCACAATTTGAAGTCTAGTGTAGTTAGTTTAGGGCGAAGGCGAGAGCGCAATAAAGCTCTCTCGCGCTCTTCGCGAATTCGCCTCGCCTTCGCCAACCTTAGATAAGCTAGGCTAAGCATATGAAATAGAATGATTCGCATGTTAAACTCGAAGCGACGCACCACTCTTTTTTTCGTTCGCCAAAAGTCTGCCACCACAACTCGGTTTTTTTTCGTAATTTAATTTTTTAATGTTTCTAATAAACTAATTAGAAAAATCATGGCGCCCCCGGGTGGACTAGACAAAAAAAGGCAACATAATTAAATAATTAATAATAGTGATAGTGACACAATATATATATATATAAATATAAATACATAAATATATATAAAATATATAAAAAATACATACATAAGTGCAGTTAAACAAGCCAGTGACTAGTGCTTGAGGAATTTGTTGCCCGCGACGCGCTGTGTTAAATAAATTTAATTAAATAATTTAAATAAATTAACCGTGTCGGTCGGGAAAAAACTCTAACTCCAACTACTGCCATCAACGAGGGAGCAAGAAGCACAGGAAAGTGGCAGCTGGAATATATTTATATATATATATCACCAAGCAGAGGTATTTGTGCAAAAAATTGAAAGCTGGAGTAAAATAAATTTATTGTTTATTGTCTTGTGCTGAAATATTGCACCTCGCTTTCAATTTTTGGCACATACGTATTATAGTAGAGCAACATTGCATGTATTTATTCAATTATATATATTGTCTAAAATTAACATATACATACATACATAAAATTGAACCGCACTTGGACGCAACATTTATTTATGTTATTTATTGTATTATATTGCAATCACTGTCGCCCCCCCTCTCTCGTTAGAACTCGCTTTAATAGTTGGGAAGTTAATCCAAGCTTGCGCACCAATACATAAAGCCTTATATACTAGCAGCTGCAGCGGTGAACTTTTTCGTTTTCGCTTTCGCTTGTGTGCCGGTGTAGTCGTTGTTGTTGTTGGGCTCTTTTAGTTTGGCGCGCTTAGATTAGCGGACCGCCAAGTGACGCGCTACCCTGTTTTTGTAGGGTATACTCTTTTTCGGTCATTTGATTAGCAGACCGCCAAGTGACGCGCTACCCTGTTTTTGTCGGGTATACTCTTTTTCGGTCATTTGATTGGCGGACCGCCAAGTGACGCGCTACCCTGTTTTGGTCGGGTATACACTTTTCGGCGTCACTTGCACCCACTATTATTATTGATACTGCGTGACTCGTTTCAATTAAATAAATTATTGTCATCAGAAAAAAAATATTTAATAAACTTTTCGAACAAAATAAAAATATTAATTTGTAATATTAATTAATTAATTATTAATATTAAATATTTATTAAATTAAAAAGAATATTTATATATATATATATTTTTATTATTTTTAATTGAGTGTTTATTTGATATTATTTTGATATTATTTATATTAGATTCGAAAGCTATAATTAATACTTTCGTCGTCTTTCTGCTTTAAACAATAATTTTCGGCCATTATTATCATTCTTGGGAAAATTAATTTAATTAATTTGTAAAAATGAGCCAGGACACAAAGAATAAATCTCTTCTGGAGGAGTTAAAAAGCAAGCTCCAAAATAGGGTCAGAACCATTCGCCGATTAAACGAGCGGCTGGAACAGGGTTCGATTCCGATTTTAGAAGAAGAATTGAAATGTCGACTCGAAAACTTAAATGCTTCAATTAACAAGGCAAATCAAATCCAAGAACAGATAGAAGAAATAGATAGTGGCGATGAATATGGCGACGAGTTGGAAGAACTTAGCATCGTGACCAAGGCAAAATTGATGTCTTTATTATCTGCCATTAAGACAGCAGCCAGCAGCGAAACTCCGGGATCAGCTGCGGCAGCACCAACTCGTGCGCGACTTCCGAATTTGGCATTGCCAAAATTTAGTGGAAATTATTCGGAATTTAAAAATTTTATTAGCCTCTTCGAAACTTTGGTTCATAAAGATGCCAGCATTCCAGTTATCGAAAAATTTAACCACTTAATTTCATGTCTCTCTGGTGAAGCTTTAGGAACAATTAAAGCTTACCAAGTCACCGAGAGTAATTACGAAAAGGCGATGGCCAGTTTAAAAAAGGTTTACGATAACGAATGCCTCATCTTTATGAATAATATTTCAACATTGTTTAGTCTTCCAAAAATATCGCATCAATCCGCATCCTCCTTGAGAAATCTTATCGACACTGTTTCGTCGATTTACGGTTCTCTGCTATCGATAGGAGATGATACAAAATTTCAAACGCAATGTTGATATATTTGGTATTAAATAGAGTCGACCCAGTGACCAAACAAAAATGGGAGGAACAGCTCGATTATGAGACATTGCCACTTTGGTCCGATTGTGAAAAATGTTAAATCGCCGATACCAGCATTTATCGGCTGAAGAATCAACAAAACCAAAGCTGGAAAAATTACCGTCAAGCAAACCACATAATCGAAGCTCATTTTCGTGTTCCTCCTCCAACAGCAAGCCTCAGCAAACTTGTAGCTATTGCAATGCAGAAGATCATTCACTACAGAATTGCAGCCCGTTTGGGCGTCTCTCTGTAATGCAAAGGTTCGAGTTTGTTAAGTCAGCCTCCTTATGCATCAATTGTCTGCGAAAAGGCCATACTGTGTCAAAATGCAAGGGAAAAAGTGTAGAGCTTGTGACCGCTCACATCACATTCTGCTCCACAGATACACAGTGCCTGATAAAAGTTTAGCGTTGCCACCCCTTCAAGAGAATATTTCTCCTCCTTTTAACCAAGTGCAGCCTTCCACGTCACATGTTATGCATGCTACGTCATTGGACAGGGTAATCTTGGCTACGTCAATCGTAAGCGTGCGCACCAAAAGCGGCGAATACGTTTTAGCCCGAGCACTTCTGGACTCTGGGTCTCAAACGAATTTCATAACGGAAAAATTAGCGAACCGCTTACAGATTCGTAGAGAGGAGTCGTGTATCAACTTACTTGGTATTGGCGAATCCAATTCTCAAGTCAAGAAAAAGATACACACCGTGGTGAAGTCACGAATCAATGGGAGTGAGTTCTCGTTCGATTTCTGGATTTTAAAATCGATCACCGGTTATCACCCCGATCAATCGGTGAACGTTAGCGATTGGAAGATCCCAAAGAACCTCCCATTAGCAGACCCCTACTTTTACAAGTCACAAAAAATTGATATGCTAATCGGAGCCGAATCATTTTTCGAATTGCTAGCTGTTGGTCAAATTAAACAAGGTCCTGACTATCCAACTCTTCAAAAGACCCTTCTTGGTTGGGTTGTCTCGGGGAGATATAAATCTGCAGCCCCGAAGCAAGTTGTGAATAGTTTCAGTTGTAGTGAAGAATCGTTAGTGTCGATTGACACCACGCTACAGAAATTTTGGTTACTGGAGGAAATGCCAAATCCAAAGAAAATTCTGTCGCCTGAGCACAAATTATGTGAAGAGTATTACAGGAAGACTACTCAGGTATTGCCATCAGGTCGGTTTGAAGTAAGGCTGCCGTTTAAATCTGACCCTAAGGGGTTAGGCAATTCTTTTGATGTTGCAAAACGGCGGTTTTTGTCGCTTGAGAAAAGGTTGTCTCGAGATCCTGACTTAAAAACCATGTATTTGGAATTTATGGAAGAATATCTCGCCTTAGGTCATATGTCGCCTATAGACAACAAAATTCCTTCCACTCCACATTATGCCATTCCCCATCAATGTGTGTTGAGGCCCCAGAGTACGTCAACAAAGTTGCGCGTTGTTTTCGATGCATCGTGCAAAACGTCGACTCAGGTGGCCTTAAATGACATCTTGATGGTGGGACCGACAATCCAAGAAGAGTTGTACTCCACTCTACTCCGCTTCCGGCTGCACAGGTATGCCCTGACTGCCGATGTAAAAAGATGTATCGCCAAGTGATGGTTAACGAAGCGGATAGGCAGTTTCAACTCATAGTGTGGAGAAGAGACCCCTCTGAATCCTTGAGATTATACGAGCTCAACACCGTTACATATGGTACTGGACCAGCCCCTTTTCTTGCTATTCGGTGTTTAAAAAGGTAGAGTGAATCTGCGAAACTTTCATTACCTAGAGCTGCCGACGTAATTGGATCCGATTTTTACGTCGATGACATGCTAACTGGTGCTGCATGCGTAGAGGAGCTACGGACAATCAAGTCTGAAGTGTCTCAGGTTCTTCAAACAGCAGGTTTTGAATTGACAAAGTGGTTTTCAAACTCACCTGAGGTCACTGCATCTGAGAGCACAGTTAAGTCGATACCTATCTCGGACTCAGAGTCAACTAAGGCGTTAGGAATATCTTGGTTGCCTAGCGAAGATGCCTTCAAATTTAAAATTGACGATTCTGTCATGGGTCTCCGAGCGACAAAACGGAACATTTTATCGGTGACATCCAAGCTGTTTGACCCCCTCGGCTTATTAAGTCCCATTGTAATAAAAGGAAAGATCCTACTGCA